CCACATCACGCTGTACACGGAGCCCTCGTCCTCACCTCCACATTACACTGCACAGCCTTCCAGGATTTTCACCAATTCTTTAGAGCTTCTCAGAGAAACAAAATTTTACCATGCTGCCTACAAATTCTGTACACTTTATTCAATACTATTTTTCACTTATATAATTTCAGCCGTGTGCTACACTATATCCAGTTACTCTTTGTCTGACTTGTAGGTCTTCACTGATCCCAAGGTTTGTGTCATAAGTCTGGTATTGTTTTATTCACACGAAGAATATTTAAACTTCACCATTGCTGTCATCACTTACCTGGGAAATCATGGTTGATCTCATCCATTTCCAACACAATATCATATGGCACCCCAGCCTCAGCCAGCAGCACATTAAGCTGACCAGGCATCCGGCCTGCAACTGGGTGAATTCCAAACCTAGACATGAAACAAATGAACAGCTGGCCTTACTCAATGGGCCAAAATGTGCAAAGAGACCACGATATCACGTCCATATCTGCACACACAGTTCTTGGCACCTCTGTTTCTCCTGGTACTATCTGATCTCTAAAGGCAGAAAAAGAATTAGTCCAGATATAGTCTACAAATAATAAAGTTGGAGATTCAACATCTAAATATACAGAAACTATAACTTCCCTAAGGGGAAAAAAAAGTGCAGTTTTAGAACCTATCTCTTCTATATATATATATTTTAAGTGCAATAAACTCCAATAAAATATTGTCAAACATAATTAAAAACTTACAAATGCTGAAAGACAAATTAGATGGCTAGGACCTCCTAAAAATTTGACACTTATCCACATCAAAGGATTTCACCAAAAGAGTGAAGAGAGAACCCACAGGCTGGGAAAATATTTTTGGCAATGGCGTATTGGAAAAGGGGGTAAACACTAAAATTTGTAGAAAATTTCAGTATCTCAACAACAAAAAGACAAATCCAATTTAATAAATAGGCAGAGGACATGAACAGAGACTTTGCCAAAAAAGACACTCGGGCAGCCAACACACATGAAGAAATGCCCACAATCATTAGCCATTAGAAAGATGCAAACCAAAACAACAGTGAGTTGTTATGATAGTCACCCCAACATTAGTAGCAGAGTTCAAAAAAACAAATGCTGGCAAGGATATAGAGAGACTAGAAGCCTCATATACTGACAGTGGGACTGTAAAATGATGCAACCACTGTGGAAAACAGTATGGAACTTCCTTAAAAGGCTGAAAATAGAGATGCCATATGATCCAGCAATCCCACTACATATAGAGAGAAATGAAAGCCATAACATGAACAGCTATATGCACACTCATATTCATCGTAGCACTGTTCACCACAGCAAAAAGATGGAAACAATCAAAATGCCCATCAATGGACGAATGGATAAAGAAATTATGGTGTATACACACAATAGAATACTACACAATGTTAAAGAACAATGATGAATCTGTGAAACATCTCATAACATGAATGAACCAAGAGGGCATTATGCTGAGTAAGATTAAGCAATCACAAAAACAGTGGTATGAGAACACTATTATAAAAAGTCAAGAAAAGGTTTTCATACAAAAAGATATATTCTTTGATGGTCACCAGGGGTGGGAGGGGAAGAGAGGGTAAACCAGTAACTAGAGGGTAGACACATATTAAATTGGACGAAGGGGAAGGCAATACCCACTAAAGGGGAGGTCAGCACAAAATGATCAAGGAAAGGAAGACACAGGGAGGAGTGTAAGAGTTAAAGGTAACAGAGGTTAAATACTAATTTATACACAATCCTGTCATAATCTATGTGTAGATACATAGATAGACATGCAAGCTGAACAGGCATGGGAAAAAGAATGGGACTATACCCACAAATACATATAGGTCTGACAGAAGATATTTCTATATATGTACTGACATATGCTGCAAGTATACCCATGAATACAGTACAGCATCCAGTGAGCAAAGACAGGAAAACCTTTTAGCTATCATTAAAAACCCTGCAGGAATGAGTCACTGGGCCAGGGGACTCAGGACCATAGTCTCAGGGGACATCTAGTTCAAATGGCAAAACACAGTCCATGAAAACAATGTTCTACAACCTACTTTGGTAAGTAGAAATTGGGATCTGAAAAGCTTGCAAGTGACCATCTAAGGTGTAAGTATTGGTTTCTCCCCATCTAGAGTCAAGAAAATCAAAGACACATGGAAACAATTCATGCAAAGGACTAACAGCATGTGAACCTTAGCCTCCATGACTCTTAGACTAGAAGAATTACTGTTCTGAACAAGATCATATTAAGAAGTCCTGGATAGAGTGGAAGAAACATGTGAAGCCAAACTCAAAACCATAAAAAAAGACAAAGCTTACTGGTCAGACAGAGACTGGTGAAACCCCTGAGACTATAGTCCTTGGTCATCCTTTGGGCTGGAACTGAACTCACTCCCACAGCACAATTTTCAAACAAAAGACAGGTCTACAAGGTAAAGAAAAACTCTAGGAAGGTACACATTCCTTAGAACGATCAACCATTTGATATCAAAAGGGCAGCATTTTCCCAGACAAAGTTCTGAAGGCAGGAAGGGTTAGGTGAGGAGGAATGAAAACAAGAAACACACAGAGGAAATGGGAGAAGTGAGGTTACATTGAGAGAACTCCAATCACTGATATGAAACAAAATGTGTGTGAATTGTTGAACAGAAAATTTATTTGCTCTGTAAATTTTCACCCAAATCACAATATAAAGTTTAAACAAATAGAGAAAATACTGTCATACGCATGATGTCAAAGACCTGTACTCTTTCATTCAGACAGTGATATAAATAAAGTATTACTCCACATCACAGAAGAAACACAGTAGTAACACACTGAAATGTTTAAAAGGCAGAGCTAGCAATATAAAAATGAGAGCTCTGTATTCTTATTAAGACAAAGGAAACTGAAGCATATCAGGAATTTCAACCACAGACATAATGGAGTATTTGAAGTCCTTTCATCTAACTTCATAAACAACCTGTAATATGCAGATAACACAATCTTGCTTGCTGAAAGTGAAGAGAACTTGAAACACAACAGAAAGAAAACAAAAATTCTTACAACTGGACCAATAAGCAACATCATGATAAATGGAGAAAAGAATGAAGTAGTCAAGGATTTAAATTTACTTAGATCCACAATCAACACCTATGAAAGCAGCAGTCAAGAGATTAAACAATGCATTACACTGGGCAAATGTGCTGCAAAAGACCTCGTTAGAGTGCTAAAAGCAAGGATGTCACCTTAAGGACTAAGGAGCACCTGACACAAGCCACAGTATTTTCAATTACCTCATATGCGTATGAGAGCTGGACAATGAATAAAGAAGACCAGAAAAGAACTGATGCCTTTGAATTACGGTTTTGGTGAAGAATATTAAATATACCGTGGACTGCCAAAAGAGCAAATCTGTCTTTGTTCAAAGACAGAAAATCTGTCTTTGAAGAAGTACAGCCAGACAACTCCTTAGAGGCAAGCATAGTGAGGCTTTGTCTTAGGTACTTTGGACATGTTTTCAGGCAGGACCAGTCCCTGGAGAAGGACATCATACTTGGTAAAGCAGATGGTCACAGAAAAAGAGGAAGACTCTCAATGAAATGGCTTGATACATTGGCGGCAACACAGCAAGGATTGTGAGGATGGCACAGGACTGGGCAGAGCTTCTGTTGTACATTAAAAAAAAAAAAAAAA